TTGCTCCTGGCCCATGTGTGGGGTGTAGCAGATCCCTTCAGAGGGGATGAGAGTCACTCCAGCCTCCACTCCTGCCCGAGGACCACCCTGCCTGCTCAGGCTACTTGCCAGGAGGGCTGGAATGGTCTCTTTTCTATTTTGGCCGGGGTAGCTTGTCCATAGAATCCTAGAAGTGGATGATGGCTGGGTCAAAGGTAATGGCCAGATGCAGTGAGGTTCCCCTGCAGAAAGCAAGCACCATCTCTGTTCTGTCCAGCACAGAGAGGCCCCTTCCACACAGCCTCACCGGCACAGTGGGGGCAACCTTTTAGATTTTTGCCAGGCTGCTTAACAAGAAATGGTGCTTCAAAACAAAACAGTCATTTTTACTGTATTCATCATATTCTGAGCGAGGGAGAATATCTATTTTTTTTACATGTTGAAAGTCCATTAGCATCTTTGTGACTATTTTTAGAAAATATATTAACTATTACAATAAAAGTGGCAAATAAATTTCTTCAGCTTGTATTTACTTCCCTAGTGATTTTTTAAAAAAATTGTAACCATGTTAATTGTTTCCCTTCCTGTACCTGGATTTTTAACCTGCTGGGTTTTCCTTACTCCCAGGTTGTTAAGAAATCCTTTTTTTCCCAGTGATCCCAGAATCATTTGTTGAAAGATCAGTTTCCCCATTGACTGGTGATACCACCTTAAAAATGCACATAATTTCCACATGCAGTGAGTGGTACGTTCAGTGAAGTATAAAGAAAACACAGGAGGACTTTGCAATTTCTTTTATGTACTGATCTGTGTATTAATGGTCTAATCCCAGTTATTTTGGGCTGTTCTTCTTAATGGCCTTTATGACAAGACTAGCAGCTAATGCCAAGGCCAATGTCCATGAAATATTATAAACTAAAATAATAGGAGCTCCGGTGGCTTCATGGGAAGGAGTTGTGTTGCCAACCCAGAGGCACTCGATCTGAATCTACTCTCCGCTCTGAGGGTGAAAGATGAGAAGTCTCCTCTTAAGCAATTCACAACTTTTAAAAACCCAGTGAAGGAGGGTCAGTTAGGGCAATAACGTGACTCTATTTATGCCAATACAGACACTGGCAACCATGAAGCTGGCACAGGACAGGGTGGGGTCGTTTCTTGAGATCAGAATGATGTTGCTGTCATTCTTGTATGATGTTGTGTGTAGCAGATTCTCCTCCAGATGGAGGGTCGTCACTAAGTACAACCCATAATGACCCTGGGAACAGCAGATCTTAACACTGTCCTCTCCTGTGCCATCCTCACAATTTCTGACATACTTGAGCCCATTGCACAGTCACTGTGTCAATCCACCTGGTCGAGGTTCTTCCTCTCTTTTGCTGCCCCTCCACCTTCTGATGTCCCTCTCCAAGGACTAACCTCTCCGAGCAACATGCCCAAAGTTTGAGAGATGAAACTTCATCATCATTGTCTCCAAGGAGCACGCTGGCTGCACCTTCTCCAAGACCTATCTCTTCTCTTCGTAGTCCCTCTTCAGTGCTCGTCTCCAACACCCCCATTCAAAGGCATCAATTCTTCTGTCATCCTTATTCACTGTTTAGGTCTCAGCAGCACTGCAAGTAATAAAAATAATATGGCCTGAATAAGGCACTCCTTAGTCCTCACACTGACATCATTGCTCCTCAATAATTTGGAGAGGTTCTTTTTTTTTTATTACTTGTGTGTGTGTGTGTGTGTGTGTGTGTGTGTGGTCAAATCAGATCTGACTGGTACAGGAGAAGATTGTCCCTCCTTCCCCGACAGAGCATCTGGTGGATTCGAACTGTGTGCCTCTGGGATTGCAGTGCAGCGAGAGGTTCTTGACTGTAGACTTTCTCAGTGCAATACAACTCCTGACCTCCTGACGGCTGGTACAAAAGCTATGGATTATGGAAACAAGATGAAGATGATGAAGATCAGGATGAAGAAGAGCAAATTAAATGACAATTAACAACAACACATAGCTACTGGCTTTCCACTGGACGGCTCAGCTCTGGCCAACGTCCAGCCCAGCCAGCGGCTTCCACCCAGGCATCCTCTTCCAACATAACCTGAGTTCCTGTTTGTGCAGAGGCTCCGCAGACGTGGGAGGTGAAGAGAACGGAGCAGGCCACTCCGAGCCCCCCCGTCTTGCTCATACAGTACACACGTGCCCTTCAGGAGGGGTCCAGATTCAGGGAGCCGCCCACCTCCATCCTGGTGGCCATCACAATGACAGCTGGCCCCGCATCACAATACCACAGGGGGAGGCTGAGCAGCATGTTCCTCCTGGGAAGCTCCTCTTTGTCCTCAGACCTACTTACAACCACCTAGGGGGCAGAGGACCCCATTTCCTGGGAAATAGAAAAGCACCCAGCAGGCCTCAGGCTGGAGACCCACAGGCGGGGCCAGGGCCGGTGGGGCAGCTCCAGGAGCTCCAGCCGATGCCCCAAGGTCCAGCAGCGGAGGGAGTTCTCTCTGAGCATGGAGCACCTGCTCCTCTTCTTCCTGGCAGTCTGGCTCCTCTATTTCTTACTTCAGGACTACTTCTGAGGAGTCTTCCCTCCACTGACCCACCGCTCAGAGAGGTGGGTGACTGGCCTGGTCCAGACGAGAACAGAGCCCTGAGACTTGAAAGCCAGCTCTGCAGGGACCCCATGGCAAGACTTCACCTGGCTAAAGACTTAAGTAGCAGGGACGTGGGAACAGGTAGACACTTTTGCCCCCCTCCCCAGGCAGAGCTGGTTCTAGGCCAGGCCTCCCTGCCTCAGGAGGGCCCAGTGCTCAATGACTCCACGTGAAGAGTGTGAAAAGCCTGTATATGCAGAGTGGGAAGGGGGAGGCACAACACAAAACCCTGAGGTCACATCTGCCCTGCACATCCACCAAGAAGCTGTGCTGTCCCTGTCCCCTGCTGAGAAATAAACTGTCCGATGAGTCAAAGCCAACAAGAGAAACGTTATTCTGATTTTCCAGGGAAAAGAAACTGCTCAGGTGTGGCTAGTACCTTTCTGGTGGGAGTGGTGAAAAGATTACTTCCTTTTGGGGATACCTTTATTAAAGTAGGGGACCCCGATAGCCTAATGATTGTTTGATCATCAGCCGGAAGGTCTGTGGTTCGAAGCCACCAGCAATCCTCAGGAGAAAGATGTGGCAGTCGACTCATAAAATCAGCCTTGGAGCTACAAGCAGTCCTCCTCGGGCCTGAACAGTGGCTCAGCTGGAGGTAAGATGACAGCAGCAAGTTGGGTTTTAGTTTGAAAATAAGATGGAAGCATCTTCAAGGCTGCAGGTGTGATTCTCCTTGGACACACAGGGCAGGTGTGGCCCAGCCCCGGGCCTCCCAACCAAACCCACCTGTTGAGGTCCCTCCCCTTCCCAGGGTCTGATGGTCTATCATGCCACCCTGGGCCCCAGCTTTGCCCTGGGTTGGCAACCTGCACTTCGGTTTGACCTGACTTTATTGGCTGCTCCTGGGGAAGTGGGCCATTACCGAGATAAGCTGAGGGCAGACCTCCTCCCTCCCAGGAAGTGCTTCTACTGCAAACGGGGGTATTTTTTCTAAGCACGCAAACCCTCAGAGGCGGTGGTGAGGCCCTGCGGGACACAGGAGTCTTGGTAGCAGGCAAAGCTGCACCTCTTGCTACTGTGCACGTCACGTGCAGGCATCGCTGCTTCTCACTCTCCGGGAAGAGCTAAGGGCTGCATGGAGAAGCAGAGGGAAAGATGCCATCATCTCCCCAGGAACAACCTCCCTAAATCTAACTCAGGTTCACTAATGTCATGGGTTTGGACTAGAGCCCGAGAAACTGAGTTTTTAATGAACCTTGCCCTCCCCAACCAACACTGCAGGGATTCTAATCCTGTCTGCCCTATGACCAAACCAGGGGAGTCTGAAGGAATCCCAACCTCCTTCCCTGAGCCAGGAAGCAGTGGGCTTGTGTGAGGTGGGGGCTCCCAGGGACCAGGAATGCACAGCCCACAGTCTGCCCACGGTTTCCTTCATGAACATAATGTTATAAAGCATCTCTGGACTGTGCCCTCTCAAACATGCTCACAGGGAATGAAGAGCGTGCTGTGCTCTCTCATTGTCAGTGACTAGAATCCACTCATACAGCAACAGAGTTGTAGAAGTACATATCTTCCCCCTGGGACTCCATGTGGCTAAAATGTGAATTTAAAAAAATGTAGAGTATAACCTACAGTGTTCCTAAAATGGATCCCGGCAGAAAAGGTGCCTTCCCGCTGTGGTGGACAGTACTCTGGCCCTGGCCAACTCTCCTAAGAAAGACTGTCACCCCCATATGCCCCCTGCAAATCTTACACAAGGGTGCAGCCTTATATACAAGTCAGATCTGAAAATTCTCTCCAATGAGGGCTCCTGTTGGGAATTACGGGCGTGTGACTGCCCTGTGTGGGATCAGGCCGGGGACATGACGACGGTGCACACGCACACCACCAGGAAGAAGCCCACAGCGGACGTCAACAATTGCTTTATTAAGGCTCAGAGTGGTATCCCAGTGGGAGGGAGGGGTGGTGGTGGCTGAGTCATTCACCCCACAGACCCCTGCCTGGTTTACTTCGGGGTGACACTCTGAAGGTGGAGGTGCTCCTGTAGACCCCAAGCCAGTGTGTATGCCCTGTCACAGGTACACTGGACAGGGTGTGCAGGCAAGCCAGAAGGGTGCGTGTGGACGTAAGGGTCCTTAGCTGGGTGCTCCTGCCCAGGGTGGGGCTGCACTGGCAGGCCCTGAGGTGAGGCAGGGAGAAGCGGGGGGGGGCAGCCCCAGCCCTCCTCCATGATTATGGCTTTGTGATCCTGTTGCCACTGACGCAGGAGGGTTGTGCGCCCTCCTCCTCCCCTCGTGCTACACTGTGTGAGCTGACGGGGAAGACCCCGGGAGAGAAAAGGCAGCTCAGGGACCAGCCTGTGCTCCACTCTTCATCCAGGACCCGGTCAGACCTGGGAAGCTGCGACTGCTCCCAGTGACAGGTCTTTCTCCTGCTCAGAAGTGGACCCGCAGCACGTCCTGGCTGGCGACTGGCTGCTGGCAGGCCGTGCAGGTCAAGGGCAGGGAGCGCTGCTTCTCGCTCAGGCAGGTCCGGCACAGGAGGTGGCCGCAGGGCAGCTGGTACACTGGCTCCTTCTTGAAGTAGGGAGAGAATGCTCTCTTGCAGGAGACGCACTCAGGGCCAGGACTGCTCCCGGGAGGCTCTGGGAGGTAGGGGAGGAGAGCAGACCTCCTTAGGGAAGGCAGCTCCACCCAGCTGTTTCCCCAAGAAGATGCACAAGTGCCAAGCCTGGGGAGAAACCTGCCCACTATGGGCCCCCCAGCTGACTTTGCACCATGCCCTCCTGCCTCATTCACACTGCACCATGCCCCCCACCCCACCTTGTTCACACTGCACCATGCCCCCCTACCCCGCCTCGCTCCCCCCGTGCTCACACTGTACCATGCCCCTTCCGCCTCGCTCATGCTGCACCGTGCCCCCCCGTGTCACTCACGCTGCACCACGGCCCTCCCATGTCACTCACGCTGCACCATG